GACTTTCTCTTACTTCATCGATTCCTCTCGACAAACTCAGCAATCCTGCGGGCTTCTTTCCTGCTCTGTGACTTCATCAATTAATGGTTAATTAAAGAGCAGAGGCGCTCACTGTCCTGTTTGCACTGCTTTAATCGGATATTGATGAACTGGCAAACTTGCAGAGAAAGCTCTTTCCCTACATGTATATTCATGCACGGAACGTACACTGCAAACATCATTTTCACTCTTAGATTAATTAATTAATTTTTTTAAATTTGTAGATTTTCAGATGTCAGGAGAGGGACGGGACGGACTGGAAAGTAGTTTTAGTTGTTAATTATAATGTGTGTGTTTGTGTTTCCTGAAAAGAAAAAAAAAAAAAATCATATTTAATGTTTGATGCTAAGAATCTCAGCCTAGATTGTCTGGCCAGTATAACTTCTGCCATTTAGCTGGATCCTTGACCCACTGACACAACAGTCAGTCCAGGTCAGCAAACTTCAACTGACTGCTAGGACTTAGCTTGCCAACGTAAGACAACCAGTCCATCGCTGCCAAACAATTTAAATAATTGGAGAAGGCTTCCAGTCGGTCCATAACTTCTTGATGTTATCGACCCCTGGCAAAACACAAAAATGGTCAGTGGGTTCATGCCTTCATGTGTCATATTGTCCAGATGTCCAGATCTATTAAAAAAAAAACAGGCAATCCACCAATCCACCTAAGCAAGCCTCATTAAGCCCGTTATTTATCCCTCAACAATCAACAATCCAAATTCTCCAAAGGCTGCTTGAGTTTCCTGCTTCCACTCACCTCTCACGCCTGGCAGGAGGCAGACAGAGAGAGAGAGCCAGACGTAAATCAACACTGGGAACTGATCCCACTGTGGAGGCTGTAAATCAAGGTTGGGAAAAGAGGCATATCAACCTACGAGGGTCAGCAGTGCCTTCACAGAGTCACGCTTCACAGCGCCGAGGAGCTGCAGGGCGGGGAGGAGGTGTGTGCGTGTTTTAGGGAGAGAAGTGGGAGAGGATCATGGAGTGGGAGAACACTGTATGTAGAGATGCCTATACATGTAAAGTTAGGATACTTGAACATATTCAAATGCCTCTTCACTGTATCGGCCCATAAATAGAGCTCGAAATATGTATTATAAAACTGTATCCGGCACTCAAAGAAGTCATGTCACAGAGGTCAGAAAACGGTTGTAAATAGAAGCTTCATGAAGTCATAGACGCCCATGTGAAAGAGTGTGAAAGTCATCACATCTACAGTATGTTATGTGCCCATATTTGGGTTTTTTATTTGATCTTTTGTCGTTTTGTCAGAAATGTTGCTGTAGATAATTAGATGTGGATATTCATGGTTCTCAGAAAGTGATTCCTGATCATTTTTACATCGTAAGGTCAAAACTGTTCCCTTTGACTCGTTTTAATCTCCCACAGTTAGTGGGTTAGTGGACACAATCACTATTCTGCTGTCAGAATTATTAGGAACAATAACACAGGTTCATGAGTGTCACTAAAAAACAAGAAACAGCAATCAACTTTACAGTTTGCAGGAAGAAACACCTGACAGAGCTGAAGACTAATGGGTGATTTCTGGGTCCTTTTAAGATTTAGTTAAAGCTTTTGTAACTTCCCAAAAGAACTAAACTGTATCATCAATTGCAGTGAAAATAAAGAGCACGTTACTGCTTCACAGAAGACAAAGACTTTTTATTTTGAACTTGAAATAACCTTTCGTCTTTGGGTTAAAAACAATCTTTGAGAGAAAGCAGGCTGATCTTCTAATGAACTGCAATGAAACTCTGAAATTGCGCGAAGATAAAGATGACACAGCTGATACAGCTTGCTCTTCTAATACATCAGACTTTATTTTCAAACAGTGACTGAAACTTAGAGGTCACATATGTCATATGTGTTTTTCAAACACTAATATGTGTCCCTAGTCTGTCTACAACCTCCAAATGATGAGAAAAGTCCATCCTCTCCATCTTTTGCCTGCTCCACTTTTTAGAAAATGTGTGCTCAAACAGGCCGTTTGGAGATTTTCCCTTCATGACATCACAAAGGGCAGTAACCCCTCCCCCAGGTGGGTGACACTCCCACAGCTAGGTGTTTGTTCTGCCCTCTGAGTCTGCCTTCTCACCGTAAACAATAGGGCATGAAGCGAGAAAGCCCGAGACATCCAAGCCCTTCCAGAGAGGTGGCGTGGTCAGACACAGCTCATTTACATATTTAAAGGTACAGACACAGAAACAGCCTGTTCTGAGCAGGGCTGAAATAGAGGGGTTTATAGACATGATCAAATACAGGATCAGAGTGGATTTAGAACAAGAAACTTCACACACATGTTTTGAGATGCTCTGAGGTTTATTTAAACGTGATGAAAAGGAGGAGACTATGTGACCTTTAAATACAAAGGGAGTTTATTGTCCATTGCTTCATCTGCTTTGTGTTGTGTTATTTTATATGACTTTGAAACTTCAAAGTCACACTACAGTATAATAGAAATTAAGAAATCCATGCTGAGGTAGGCCAGATAATCTCATGTTCTGTAATTTACTGACTCTGTCAAAGGAGTCTGATAGCATAAGGAGAGAAATCTAAAAGCTGTTTCCCCGCAAAGGTTGTCCTTAACGTTCAACACATTAGGCCAGGAGTACACTGTAGGATTGTAGAAATGTTGGGGTGGAATTTCGACTCACACTGTACAGCCCGATATTGTCAAATACACGACCTCGGTGCTCAGGGCATACATGATTTTTGCCCTTCCAGAGAGAATTGAATAAAAGGGCAAACATTTCATTTCATAAAAATAATAAGTATATATTTGACCAGGACTCAGCACGGAGAGATCAGAATTTTGGCTCCTCATGCAGCGCCTGTCAGCTGCTGCGGCTTCTCTTCCACTCGCCTGATGTCGTGACAAAGCAGAGGCTGAGCTCGCACATTTTCTTACATACTCTACACACTAACAAGTCCTCTGCTGTTCTCAAGTGTCTGCCATGACAGACAAGTAGAGGAGAGACTGAAGTACAGACATATTTTTTACCCGAGGAGCCCGCTGTGTCAGTTAAATGTCAGCCAGCCCATCAGCTGAGCAAAGGCAAAAAAAACAGCCAAGACTCAGAGAGGAGGATAAGCACCGACGCCAGCCCCCACCCTTCCTCTCCTTTATTTCAAACACCGGCAGGGAAAGATAAAAAACCTAATCTTTAAATTCCAGATCCTGTGGCCCTTTGTCTGTGTGCGGGGGATTTGGAGCCAGTCCAAATGGGATGTAAATTCCATATTTGTGAGAGGTTATAAGGAGCGCTGTGAAGGAAAACATGGAAGAAAAATAACTGAATAAATACATTCTAACAAATCACCTCTGATCTGAATTAATTAAGGGGGGGGGGAGTTCAGGGACTTTCTCATCAGTGGTATTGATCATCTCATAAGGACTTAGATTATTGTGTAGCTGCTGGTTTGGAAAGCCTGAAGAATGTGTATTGATTGTGAATATAATTAGGTACACAACAATAGTTTTTTTATAAGAGTAAAGCAAAAAGCAAAAGCAGCCTGACTCCATTTCTTGTGCTGACTGCATGTTCACCAATTACCACAACAAAAAGGCTTTATCACAGAACGCTCTGTGCTCGAGATTTATCAAATCCCAGGAAATCCAAGTTTCTATATAAGGCGAGGGAAAGTAGCTTTCATTTGGCCTGCAGGCAGGAAATACAAGAAGGGGGAACGAGTAGAGGGCTTTCTTTTTTTTTTTAATAAGAATCAATTTTGGTCTGGGTACAGCCAGCTGTAGAGCGATTGAAACACAGCTCAGGCAAAATTGTCAGCACAAAAGGATGTGATATAAAACACCTGCCGTCTTGTGATTGGGTGAAGAAAGCGGGCTCAGGAGGCCCCCTTCTCTCTGCAGGCGTCCTTATCAGTGCCTGCAGGACCGATGTCATTAACCTGCGCCTCACTGGAAAACCGTGCTTAGATTAGCTTTCTGATTTTGTGGCTCAGACACACACACGCGCGTACACACACAACCACACAGCGGTAACAGCAATCACTGAGAGAGCTAAGCAAGCCCACAAAGTCAAACTGCAGTGGAGCTCATGATACCAGGTGTTATACCAGAAACAATCGTTAGACAGGAGAGTTAAAAAGCCAAGTTATGTGAGGACATTGCAACCTTCAATGTGATTATGATGGTCATTAACATTCCTGAAAGGTGACATGAAAAATGCATTGATCTAATGAGTTGAACTTCAATGCACAAAGGGGAAAACAACAACACAAAACATCAAGGCTGAACTGCTGCAGTTCTCTAAGTGTTTGGCCTCAGTGAAGCCTGATCTCCTTACCAATGAATTATTATCATTTCCTTTAATTCCTCACGAGAGCCACGCTGATATTTAGAGAGGCCCTTATTTCCTGAACAATATGGTATGTGCCAAAGGGCTAATGTCTTTGGCAGAACATATAACACAGGGAAATAAATGATTGTGTTGATAAAGAAAAGGTGTCACCTTTTAACAAGCAGAGTGTTCTCAGTCTGCATAGTCCACTCTGTGCAGAACATGTGGAGGAACATGCAGCAGGGCTGACAAGACTCTTGGAGTAAGAAGCTTAAATTGCTTAATATTGTATTTTGGCTGTTTTACAGGTTGTAAGTTAAACAAACAATGAGGATTTGAACATTTGTATCTTTCAAGTACTTTTGTGGAAGCTTTTCAATCAGCCACAGAAAACCAATGGATAGTAAAAATCTGAAGAAACATCGGGGAACATTTAAAGCTAAAAGAACATGTTGGATAACCCACTGGTTCCCAACCTGATGTCCGTGCCCCACTGAGGGGAGGTGGAAAAGATCTCAGGGAATGGGTGAGGCTTTGATTGGTGGTCAAAGTAAGATTTTCTCATTTTAACAAAAATCATAAAAACACACTTACTGGATAGTTTCTACAATCAAAATCAGAGTGAATCACATGAGTGTCAGAGACTTTAAAGACGTGTTACCTTCACTGCAGAAGCGGCCCTTGTACTCTGTTTTGGAGCAGTCACACACCGGCTCTCCGTCCACCACTGAGCATGTCCCACCGTTTTCACATGGGTTCACCGTGCACCATCCCTCTGACTCCAGGGGCACCTTAAGGCTTCCCAGGAAGAGTGGCGGTGAACGCCATATTTGAGGTCTGTGATTGAGCCCTTGAAGGGCTGCATGTTTCGCACCGTGGGCAGTGTGAGCGCTGCGCTGTGGATGTCCTGAGGCACTCCACCAAGGAACAGGTCACTGATGATTTTCATGAACAGACGCTGAGGTCGCACCTCGTCTGCTTTGACCTGGCCGTCCAGTATCATCACCGTGCGCAGGTTATACCTGCTCAGGGTGGCAAAGTGCCAACTGCCATCATCCACCCGTCTATCAGACACCACTGTGGTCTCAGCGCAGTCGATGCTGAATCGCAGCTGCAGTCGACCCTCCACCACCGCCAGCTGCAGAAAGTCACAGTAGCCTCCGTCGTCAAAGTACAGCAGCAGCGCTTCGGACGCGTCTGTCTTGAATTGGAAGCTGAGGTCGCCGCGGGTGCTGGCGTCCCAGCGGAGGTAGCGTGCCCACTGACCTGGTGTCCCTAAAAATTCCAGTCCCAGACATGTACTGAGGAACACCTGCAGCCTGATAGAAAAACCAATAAGATCCATGGCTGCAAAAAATATTAATCCAATCAAATTGAATTGTGTTGTGCTTGGATGGATTTTTTAGAGATCCACAGTTTTGTCCACACTGAGTGCAGACATAAATATTTGTTATAAAAATATGTTTTTAAAGGGAAAAGGGCAGAAGCAAGAGAACAGTCGTTGTCGTTAACAGTCTTATAGTCAAACACATTAATGAGTTGTCCAGTCGGAGTTGTGGTTTTCCTCCTTCGGGTTGAGGAGATGATATATGGGAATATATATATTTTTTTTTACACTTTAGATTTTATGCAATCAGAACTCATGGTGTACAGTCTGATGGAATTAACTTCTCTGGCTATCAGGGCCAGCTGATGTTCCTCCTTCATGTTTTCCACTGTGACATGGAGCTGACGAGGGATCCACAGGTCGGCCTCAGTTCCATCACTGTCAGAAACGGAGAGAGAAGAAGATTACATTAAGTCTTTTAGCATCGATTTTACAACTAATACTACACAACATATTCTGCAGTCCTTTCTTCAATCTAAAGCAAAAGACAGCAGCAAATTATGAACGTTTGAAATCTAAAACAAACTACATGAGTGAACCAATCTGTAGGATGTATTTGTCCTGTTACAAAAGGCTAAACTGCACCACCTAACATGCAAAAATATGTCGTCATCAAATCAATCACCCCAAACAAACATGAACCACAAACTGCAACCTTTATGCATAGAGTAGCACAACTGACAGGACAGAGCTGTCCAAGGTGCTGATCCTGCTGGGAAGGCTACCAGAGTACTCCCATGTACAGTAGACTAGTCAAGGGGAGATATGGTCTTAATACACAAATTGGTCTTCTTCGACATAGCTTGCCAAGAGGGGCCTCTTATCATCCAATCACTGTCCAGTTAAATAATTAACAGGTCCCGCAAGATCAACAAAAAAAAACAGTGTCACTTCCACATGGCAACACTCTTTGGTTGGCTGAAATCCTGAGTTACAAGTTACTATCATGCAGATGAAGATTACAATCTAATGTAGGACAAATGCACACATGGTCTGAACAACATCGTAACACTAGATTGTATAAATTTGAGAAAACACTACCCATTTTGTCCACAGGGGCCGCCAAAATCAACACAAATTGAAACTTCCTTACAGATGCTATCGAAAACAAGGACTTGTATGTGTCTAGGAGTATTTCTAACTTTTTGTACGAGACTTCTACTCGAACAAAGAACCAGAATAGATTTTCTACCGCTTTAACTTGCATATACTGTAAATTTAAGCAATCTGAAACAGTTTATGTGGACCAAGTGGCAACCTCCAGTCTTGAAAAATGAAGCCAATGCGAAATGCAAAATCCTACAGGCTCCAGGAACACTGGAAGTCACATACACACACACACAACAGGCAAAAAAAATATCTGTTTTTACAGCATAAATAACATGTTTACAGCCTGGTACAAAAAAAGAAACAGGTCTGATTAGTTGTTGTCATCACTGGAACACACTGTAGGGGGATGATTTTGTTTTTTAAACGGCTCCGTTTCGATTTTGAAAACGATACATGTTATCCTTAGTTAAGCGAGTAGCTGACTTGATTGACAGGTGGGCGTGATGTAACGGTACTTAAAGAGACTTAAACCCGCCTTAGCTCCAGCTCTCAGCCTGTCGTTAGGTTGACTGAAAGTTAGGCTGAGACAGGATTCATGGTGGCGGCTTTGGATGAGCCTCCGGAGCCCCCTGCACTGATAGATGGTGACGTCACTCAGGCTTCGTACATCAGTTGAGGGTATATCCCTGGACGTCAGAGAAAAGTTGTAGAACTACTGAGTCCAGGAAGTATATGTTTTGTAGTTAGGCACTTGTATAAAAAAATAATTTCTCAGATAATCCAATGAGCTATCACATTGTTTTTGAAGAAGGAAGGGACTGTGCTGTATTTGACAGTGATTCCATCAATTCATTTCATGGATAAAAAAAGAAGGTAGAAATAAAAAAATATGCCTGAAAAACTCCCAACATGTTCCAAACAACCTCAAAACCCCGGAACATAATACTTAGGACGTGATCTGTATGTCCTCTGAGGGAGCGACAGCCCTGATGGATGGCACAATTAACACAAATTACATGTGGATATTGATGTAATGAAGACAAATGGGACACATATTGAGCATGCAGTTTCTTAGAGAGAAGAAAAGCTTGACTGTATTTTAGTAGTGTTCACAGAGGCTGCACTACTGACAGCCAGTAATCCTAATTAAAAATGCCTTTGATACTGTTGCATTCTTCTCTTCTCCTAAAAGGTTTTTTCTTTTTTGTTTATCGGTCATCAGCTGTGTAAATGAGCCCATTATTCTCATGGCAGTGTCAGGCAGTCTGCCTTTATCTGATGACAGGCCTGAGAGACAGCTTTCTGCACACACACAGATAAACACAAGGATGAAACAAAACACTAAATATTAAGTGGCTCTGTGTTATATTTTGTTTATAAAAATGTCATGGTTTTTTTCAAAACTAGCAAAACAACCTCTACCTCAAAACCCTAAAATTCATTTCCACTTTTTCCGCTTTTCAAGAAACGTGCTAACTTTTCTTTATTAATATCTGAGTAAAACATTCCCTGCCATCACTTTTTAAAAATATTTCTTCTGCATGGCTGACACAGCTCGTTCTGGAAAAGATGGTTGTCTCGATCAAATACTGGAAAAACAAGACTTACTTTAAAAGATCTGCATAAAAAAGCCACTTGACTGACTTGAAGCCTGACTTGATGAATTTGTGACCATGAGAGGAGCTCTGTTTGCTGTCCGGAAGATGTTTGGCTTTAAAAATCTGCAATATATAATATAATATATATATATATATATATATATATACATATATAATCTTTCTGGTTGTAGGCTTTCAACCATATGCAGCAATGACAAAGTGAAGCAAAAGAGTCAGACATCCCAAGACGACGCCTTAGTTTAAGGCAATGCATAAGACAGGAAATGCAAATGGTGAATCAAGAACGTGATAACAGTCCATCTCCCAAGGACATGAACGCACCACGGAGAGTTGATAAACACATAGCCACACAGGCTGCAAGAAAAAGGTGATATTCCATTAGACATGTTTGTTTTTTTTAAGTTTTAGGTCACATCGCCCAATGAGACTAAAGATACTCAAAACCAGTAAACCAATACGAGTCCGTTCAATCAATAGCCGTAGTTTAATGGGGGGAAAATGTGACTTGCTAAAGCCCATTCTGTGACAATTGGTGACAAATTCGACCATTTTTACACTGACTGATTGACATTACAAACTGGTATCACCAGTTTTAAAATAATCTGACTTTGTATCACCAGATATCTCTGTGTTGAAAAATTAAGCCAATGCAGAAATGCAAAAAAAACTGCAGTTCCTCCAGTTTCCACTCGGGGCCTGCAGTAAACGCCAAGAATCCTCCATTAGGTCCCACATTAAAATGCAATTTTTACAGCAAAAATAAACATCTTTAAATCCATGTTCAAGAAATATAATATATATGATATCAATAGCTCGTTCCTTGATCGGTCTACACCATACGTGGAGTGATTTTCTTATCACTCAGCCATTTTGTTGATATTTAGCCTAACCACTATACGTATATTTACATAATTAGGGGCATGGTTGAGTGAGCTGACAGGCAGGCACGTTGCTGTCAGCTCCAACCACTTCCTGTTATTAGATTGATCAAATGTAAGGTAGTCAGCATTTTCAATATGGAAACCACCATCATTCAGCTTTAAAACACCTCTCCACAAACCAATAGGTGACAACAGTGAGAACACGTCCATGTTTTCTACAGTCTATGGGGACTCAACTGGGGATTTTAATGCTATAACATTTTCATATACAAGCTGTTAACAAGTCAGGAGAAACCTCTGACAGCTGCAGGTAGCAATATATCACAGCACAGAGGAGGCTGATGTAGCCGTGGAGGTGCAGTAAATCTTCAGAGAAGTCAATCTACTTCTGCCACTGACACAGTCGAGAGCTGTGAAAGAGAGGCTACAACAACTACCTGGACTTACTCCTCCAGACTTGAGTTACACAGTTGTGGGAAAAAAAAAAAAAAAAAGAGTAGACGAGAAAGTAGCAGCAGCTCGGCTGGAGATTAGAGAATATCTTGTCAGAACTTCTTCTATCATTTGGCTTCTGTGCTGCACGTCTACTCTTAACCCTCCATAACCCTGAAGACTGTTCTGACAGTGTTGAATGAGCAGTCGCAGAACTTGCTGCTAGTCTCCTAAAGGGGCGGGGCAATTATAAAACAAGGTCACCAAGTGGCAACCTCTAGTACCGGAACATGCAGCCAATTGCAAAAGTGCAAACAAAATGCCGTTCCATGAGTGTCCACTTGAGGTTGGCAGTAAAAGCTAATGAATCCCCATTAGGTCCCATATTAAAATATACATTTTTACAGCAAGGGGAGGATATTTTTGCATAATTAAGGGCGGGGTTGAGATGACTTACAGGCGGGCATGTTGTAGCCGTTTGCCAGAAGGTTTAAGCCTGCCTTCGCTTCATCTCTTTATCTGTTTCTAGACTGATCATAAGTGAAGTAGATCAGAATTTCCAATATGGTGGCAGCCATCACTCAGCTTCAAAACACCTCTTCAGAAAACAAATGGCTGACGTTGCTGAGACTACGTTCATTTTATGTACAGTCTATGGACGTGACACAGGTACAGGAAATGACTCCTGGTGAACAGCTCAGGATGACTCAGCTGCATGTAAACGGTCATTACTATAGAAAAAGGAGCAATTATGGTTCAATGAATGCCACTACAACAACAATAGCTTTGATATGTGAGAATGATACCGCAACCGTTACAAACATCTAATTTCCAACAGGAGCAGCTGTAGTGACAGTTTTCTTCTAAGGTTAAAAAAGCGGAGGTGCTGTGGGATGTTATTTCATCACTGAGGGGCTTGATAGATCATTACCATGCCTGAGTCTCTTTACCGTCAAAGCCATCACTTGTTACAGTCGAGTTTGGCAAGATAACATGAATATTTTTTGGCCTGTCCTTTTTTTTGACACTGTAAAAGTAAAGGTTGGACTAACTGGAGACGAGACTTCCCACCATGATGGACAACAGGGGATACCTGGTAAAATGTTACAGTATCTGTCTAAATTAAAACAAATCTGTTGTGCTGTGCCTCTCGAATATGTGGCAGCATTTGGGTGACTTGGAGTGTCACTGGTTCAAGTCCTGCTATGAAGTCTTGAAATTGGTCCGGTAGATGGAGATGTGCCAGTTTCCTGAGCACTGCTGAGCTGCCCTTGAGTGAGGCACAGAAACCCCGCTCTTTCATGTTCAGCCCCCTCACTCTGACATCTCTCTACTGGTGCATGTCCATAAGATCCTGTTTGTGCATGTGTGGGTATTTCAGCCTGTGTGTGTGAAG